GAATGAACATGAGTTATTTAATCGATCGGTAAGGTATTTAGACCCAACAAGTTTTATATACATTCAACTTACCAACCACTAACGTTACAAATCCTGCAGGAGCTTGACAGCTCTACTGAAGGAATCCAGGGATCCGCCCATTTGCAATTCTGCAGCATTTGCTGCATTCCTGCAGCAGTGAAGTAGTGGCGAGGAAAGGAATTGCTGTCCTGGATGGGCTCCAGCATGGCTGAGAAAGAGCCAACCTCCGGGCTTTGTTTCCTGCAGACGGAAATGCTTATCTTTTATCCTCACAATCCTCTGATTGATTTATCAAACCCCAGCAAAGGTCAGCAAAGAAATCCAGGTGCTGCAGGGAATATTTCTGTGGCTGGTTAGTACCCAGATTGTGGAAGCAGCATGCATTTCCTTGCTGTCAAGAAGGCGGGAGTGAAAAACAAGGCTATCTTTGTAGGCTCTCGCTGATTCCTCTGTGTCCTGCCTGAGATGATTGCCCACCTCCCTCACCTCCCCACCCCCGCACCCTTTTACCTTTGAGTCTGGTGACTGTGATTAAGGGCAAGCCACCGGGGAGTAGGCCTCTGAGGAGAAAATACATTACCTCGGCTAGTTCTGTGGAGCAAGCATTTAGGGGTTTGAACCTATCACCATCATTTCTGCTTGGACAGCAGTAAATCCCTGTCACTTCTAGCACTGCACGTGTCCTGAATGGGAATGCGTGGTTCATCTTTAATCTATTCAAATGACATTCTCATTCCTGCAGCAATCTAAATTTTATATAGCTGCATAACATACTTTATGGTGCATCACTTCAAAATGTCGTGCTATAAAATTAGGCATATTTTATATTAAAATGGGGAAAGTTTTTTCCCATATATTTCCCAAGAGATCGTGGGAGATTCATGGATGGTTCTCATAGTGAGCATAATATATAAAGAAACCGGTTACAAGAAATGGAGAGGAAAGAAATTTGTGGCTTGGACAAACTATTCATCCTTGTTGATTTTATTCATGCTTCTTTTGAAAAAGTTAAAAGATTTGTGGAGCTGTGTGTGCCAGCATTTTTCCTTTTATTTTTTATAGTAATTTTTAAGGTCACTTTCAAAGAAAACACACTTATAGGGTGGAAAATGAAGACATTTTAATTAGAAAAAAATGGAAGTCATGTTGTGGTTTTTTTTCAAGAGTTTAGATCAACTAAGTAGCATATTAATTCCTGAAACAGTGTTTTGTAAACTGATGTGTATATTTGGTCTATAAAGTTGCAATACAACGTATGTGACAAATTCCACTAGTAGCATCCATTTTGTCTTATACTGGGATGTTTGAGAAACCTACAATGACCACATAACATATTGCTACTAAAGTGGTCCAACTGCAAATGGTCAATGACAGTCTCTTCATGGTGCATATTAGTCATATTGATGTCCTCAAATAGGAGAAATATGTTACAAATACACTACATTCTACAGACTGTGGTATGCGATCATTACATTCCACAGAGACATGGAAAAACAGCAGTGCTATTGGTTGCTGTGTGTATCATAAGTAGAGCACCACTCTAGAAGCAGATAGGGCTTGGGTTTGAAGTAGCAGCGTTACTTGGCAAATTATTTAACCTCTCTGGGCCTCAGTTGCTTGTTCTGAAAAAGAAATTTAAATATGTCATTATTGAATGATGGCAAATGCCTGTCATATGGTGGGTAACCTGTATGTATTTATATCCTTCAGTCCTCCTTGCTTTGACAAGCTGATGCCAATTTTGATAACACTGATATATATGAGGTGGATGCAAGACTCATGTGTTGTGCTGATTGATCCAGGGCTATTCCCACAGCTCACTGGTGGCAGAACTTGGCTCTCCTGCACTAAGACAAGGCTTTTCATGGGCCTGATCTGTAAAATTTTCAGCCTAAAGCTGACTTTTCAAAATAAAATGCCAAAACAGAACTTTCTGCTGTGCCTAAGGGCTTTAGAATACAGAAATGACAAGTCACCAGACACCAGGTCCTCGCCAACTGAAGCTTATGGACTTTATTGGCACTGGAGCAGAAGTCAAGTATTTTCTGTGATTAAAAGAGGTATACATTATGCATTTTATGTTAATGTGAATATATTTTAGTTTTTAGCTAAGTGACCTGAAATACTCCTTTCACAGTTTATAGAACTATTAAGGATAACCAGAGTGGTAAAAATTCTATTAATGAATTTCACCAACAGAATCCTCTGTCGTTTTTAAGATAATTCTTACCTTCTGGAGTGTGTTGGGTTGGCAGCTTGCAACTAATTTCACGTTTGTGGAGAATACATGGGAATAAATGTGCAAGTATGTCTAACAGTCAAATGTCTCTTTCTAAAGATAAAGACCCTGCTGCAAATAACCCTAATGCAGAAACATTATGGTGAGGAAAAGGAAAAGTTTTTTCTTTTTCTTTTTCTTTGTACACAGATTTTTCTGAAGTTGCTCCCTTTATCTTTGGTTTGACATACAGCAAATGCCACATGGGCTTTCAAACAAAATGCTGGGAGGAAGATTGAAAAAGAAGGATGACAGGGTAGAATATTCAAAAGGAGGCAGGCGCTTAGCAGAGAAAGTCAATGTAAGGCATCCAGAACCCTGATCCTGCTGGGGTTTAGAAGCCCCCCTTCAGCAGGGCTGTTGTGGGGAATCAGATGGCTGTGTCAGGAGCTATTTTATTATCTTTTATTAAAAAGATCCAAGATCTACATTCACAAGCAGGCTGACCTGCTCCTCCTCCCCACTCTACTGGCCAGCTGCAGCAAAAGAAAGGGCCCCTCTGACCTTCTTTTCTCACCGTTCACCACTTGCGTGTGCCTCTCTTTTCAGCTCCCCCAAAAGACGGCAGCAGGTGCCCGGCTGGTTTCTTCTCTCTGCAGCATCTCGCTGCCCCGCAGCCCCACTCCTTCCCAGCCAGTCTCCTCTGCAGTCAAAGCTTCTGTGAAGAGCCAAAGAGCTGTTAGCAAAAAATAAAAACAAAAGCAAACTGCTGATGGACTTAAGATCTGAGGGTGACCTAAAACTCTGGGGGAAGGCAGCTGGCAGAAAGACAATAGCTATATGAATACCTAGGAGTGTGGTATGCATGCACACACCGAGTGTGACAATTTGATTTCCATCAAGCAGCTTAAATAAAACTATTTTGTCATGTATGAGTAACTGGGAGCAGACAGATATTTAGCTTAACCAGGTCTCTCTTCCACCAACCCCTCCCCAAGAAGCCTGTCTCACAGTGGAGTTATTGATGAATGGAAAGATCAAGGCTAAGCCAGCTACAAAAGGTCATCAGAAGTACCCTACCATGTCTAGCAGGGCCACACAACACTCAGGGCAGCTTAATTACCGTCTGTTTGAAATCCTAGAATGTTTGAGCTTGGGTAAGCACAATATTAACACTTCTGAAACTGCATTATTGGAGACAACACAAATTGCTTAGAAACCCCATCAGAGTTCTCTGCTGCAGTCCTGCCCTCTGCCCTGCAGATGGTGGGGTTGGAAAGGACCTCACAGGATAAGCTTGACTCCATGCTGTTCTCCGGAGAGGTGTGCAGTGCCTCTGGAAGCAACTGTGGTACCACTCAGGGAAAGCATATCACAGGGAAAGAGATTCTGATTTCTCCATTTGGAAAGTTTGCTTCTGTAAAAAAAAAAAAAAATCAAGTTGATGTCAAATGCTGTCATGCAAATAAAACAAAAGCTAAGAGCATGCTTAGAAAAACCTTAGGGATTTTATGTAAATCTCTGCAATTCTCCCCATGAACCCGTAGAACTCCAAACAACCCCTGTGGAAAGGCGTATCCACGTGCTGTAAGGCGTGCACATTGTTTCAGGTATCCGGGTGCTTTCCATAAGAAACCCATAGATTTCTGACTGCCTTTCTAATCTACCTAACATAGCGACCCGACGGAGGAATCACGCGGCTGCTTTGGCTGCAAGCTCCAGGAGTTCTCTCCGGAGACCACACCCGACGCCTGAGGCTGGCCGCCGCAGCTTCCCTATGAAAATCAGCCACCTGCATGGCCTTTCGAAATCATCAGGTTGGGTGTTACACAGGTGTACAAAGCGGGCAAGGGGGCTTTTAATAGGAGGGAGTCGGTAGTGTCAAGTCCACGAAGCAGGGATTTAGCTCGGGGAAGTTCCAGCCAGGCAGCCTGAAGTCAGTTGCCCGCCGTAGAGCGAGCCGCCGCCTAGCAAGCGGGTCTTCTCCTTGGTAGCGTCACTCTTCCTCTGCTTCCCTCCGTCTACCCGCGTCGTCAACACACCGAAAGCCTCCAAGGCTTTCTTCCCCACAAAGAAGAAAATTTAGGAAGCCAGAGGCAGTGCCCTACAGCTTTAGAAATGATAAAAGGTAACACCTGCAATGCACGCCGCAATCGCGCACGTGTGTAGGTAGGGGGGCAGAACCCTGTGGGCTGAGAAGCAGCCCACCAACTCCGGGGGTCAGGGGGCCCAGGAGAAAGGTAGATTAATTAAAGAAAGTGCCAGAAAAACTGCAAAGAAACGCGAAACTTTCCTCGCTAAATGCCGCATACGTGCAACCACAGCCTATTCTCCTCTCAAACCACTAGCGACACTGCACCGTCGCCATAAACACTAAGTGGGGAAGAGGGGTGATCAAAGAGGTCCCTGGTGGGAAGCGGTGGGCTGCGGGCCAGGGTCTCCGAGAGGTACCGGGTTATGGAAAACTAAGTTGTCAGTGGGCGGCGAGAACCAATGGCTGGGGATACTTGAGCATCTGAGTGATACGTGGGTCCCGGGGTAAGCAGGCTGCGGCTGGCTGGGTGGGAAAGGACAGGACACAGGTGCGGGGATATAGGGTCTCAGAGAACAGAAAGGGCCTCAGAGAAAAGTGCAAAGGAGAAGAGCCGCAGCTCAGCGGCCCCGCGCCGCCGCCCCCGCCCTCCGTTTTGCGCAGAATCCTCCCCTTGGCTGCAGCAGCGCGCTGCCCCCACTGGCCGGCGCGCCGGGATCGATCGCAGGCTGCGTCAGAAGCCTCGCGGCGTATAAATAGGGGTGGCAGGACGGCGCCGAGCCGCACACAGCCATCCATCCTCTCCTTTCCCTCTCTCCCCCGTCCTTCTTTCTCTCTCCAGGCCCCATCTCCGGCCGCGGGCCAGAGGGGCACCGGCCGCCACCATGAGTTCGTTCAGCTACGAGCCGTACTACTCGACCTCCTACAAGCGGCGCTACGTGGAGACGCCCCGGGTGCACATCTCCAGCGTGCGCAGCGGCTACAGCACCGCGCGCTCCGCTTACTCCAGCTACTCGGCACCGGTCTCCTCCTCGCTGTCCGTGCGCCGCAGCTACTCCTCCAGCTCCGGCTCCTTGATGCCCAGCCTGGAAAACCTCGACCTGAGCCAGGTAGCCGCCATCAGCAACGACCTCAAGTCGATCCGCACGCAGGAGAAGGCGCAGCTGCAGGACCTGAACGACCGCTTCGCTAGCTTCATCGAGCGCGTGCACGAGCTGGAGCAGCAGAACAAGGTCCTGGAAGCCGAGCTGCTGGTGCTGCGCCAGAAGCACTCGGAGCCGTCCCGCTTCCGGGCGCTGTACGAGCAGGAGATCCGCGACCTGCGCCTGGCTGCCGAAGACGCCACCAACGAGAAGCAGGCGCTCCAGGGCGAGCGCGAAGGGCTGGAGGAGACCCTTCGCAACCTGCAGGCGCGCTATGAGGAAGAGGTGCTGAGCCGAGAGGACGCCGAGGGCCGGCTGATGGAGGCGCGCAAAGGCGCTGACGAGGCGGCACTCGCTCGCGCTGAGCTGGAGAAGCGCATCGACAGCCTGATGGACGAAATCGCCTTTCTGAAGAAAGTGCACGAAGAGGAGATCGCCGAGCTGCAGGCGCAGATCCAGTACGCTCAGATCTCCGTGGAGATGGACGTGTCCTCCAAGCCCGACCTCTCCGCCGCCCTCAAGGACATCCGTGCACAGTACGAGAAGCTGGCCGCCAAGAACATGCAGAACGCCGAAGAGTGGTTCAAGAGCCGCTTCACCGTGCTGACCGAGAGCGCCGCCAAGAACACCGACGCCGTGCGCGCAGCCAAGGACGAGGTGTCCGAGAGCCGCCGCCTGCTCAAGGCCAAGACCCTGGAGATCGAAGCATGCCGGGGCATGAACGAAGCGCTGGAGAAGCAGCTGCAGGAGCTGGAAGACAAGCAAAACGCCGACATCAGTGCTATGCAGGTGCGGCCCGGTGCGACACACGGCGGGGGCGGGGACCTGCAGAATGTGGGGGTCGGGGCAGGGGGAGAGTTGAAGCTGCGCCCAAAAAGTGGAGACCAGGGCTGGTAGGGGTCGCACTGTGCTCCCAGGGGACGGTGTGGGAGGGGCGGGGCCCTTGGGTGGGGCGGGGCCGCTACTGCAGTCTGGGTGTGTGAGTGGTGCAGTGGAGTCTGGGTTCCGCATTGAAGCTGTCCAGCGTGGGAGGGGTCAGGCGGGGGCGGGGGAGAGGTGGGAGTAGGGCGTTGCCCTGGCCTGCAGGGATGTCGGGCCACTACCTACCTGCATTCACCTGAAGTTACTTTGCAACACCAGTGGGATCACCTGGTTAATAACCATAGCGAGTAAGTCTTAGTTAGTCCCGAAAGGTTACTGTGGCCAGTATATTTTATGACTGGTTAAGTACCAGCTACTCCTCCCCTTAGCAGGTGGACAGGAACCCAGACAGATTTGTCTTGGGTAACTAGCTGGGGAGCAGAAATATAGGAAATATTTTAGAGAAAGTATAAGCAATTTAGCTACTTCCTTCTCTTATGAAAAATGGATAAATTTTCTGGATTGTGACCTGGCTAAAGTGAAGTTAACCCATAAATGAGAATCCAGCCTTTTCTGTCAAGTTAGTTTCCATGCAGGCATATTCTGATGCTCCTTAGATTGTACTAGTTGAGGATATTGTCTTAAAGGAATGTTCTTTCTTTAGTTTTTTTTTCTTCTCATACTTCATGAAGCTGGATATTTTAGGCAAGAAATATTTTCAAAAAAGAGCGAGCAGCTGTTTTAGGGGAGATTTTTATTAAAGGTGTGCCCCTCGACTCTAACTGAAACTGAGTGTTTGTAACTGAGCTACAGTAAAATGATAGCAGTAGGAATTGATGCTTAGATTTTCTTCTTTTTCTGTCTTCCAACAGGACACGATCAACAAACTAGAAAATGAATTGAGAACCACGAAGAGTGAAATGGCACGATACCTAAAAGAATACCAAGACCTCCTCAATGTGAAGATGGCTTTGGATATTGAGATTGCAGCTTACAGGTAACAACAGAAGGGCAAAGGTAGTAGCCAGAAAGCCTCGGAAGAAAATCAGATGCCATTTAGATCATGTTGAACCAGAAGCCTTCTGCAATAGCCCTCTGAAATGAGGAGATATTATTATGATTAGTTGGCTTCTTCGAAGGAGCAAGTGTTTAGACAAATATCAAAGAACTTTACCCTGTAATATTAAGTCCTGTTTTTAGCTTCTCATTACACTTAAAATCTAATAGAACTATTTAACGTACTTTATTCTGTATCCCCCCACCCCACCCCACCCCCAGTCTCATTCATAAAATTCCTAGCCATTGGATTTTGGTAATTCCCAGCCCTCTCTTGCTTGCATTTGCCTGTAGGGTGGCATTGGGAGAACAGATGAGAGGTGGGCTTAGAGCAAGTCATTAAATACACTTCCTAGGTTGTTTTAATTTTAACCCCACCCTCTGTTGGTCTCCCCAGAAAACTCTTGGAAGGTGAGGAGACCCGACTGAGTTTCACCAGTGTGGGCAGCATAACAAGTGGCTACTCCCAGAGCTCCCAGGTCTTCGGCCGGTCTGCCTATGGCGGTTTACAGACCAGCTCCTACTTGATGTCTGCCCGCTCCTTCCCGACCTACTACACCAGCCACGTGCAGGAAGAGCAGATCGAGGTGGAGGAGACCATTGAGGCTGCTAAGGCCGAGGAGGCCAAGGACGAGCCTCCCTCTGAAGGGGAAGCTGAGGAGGAGGAGGAGAAGAAGGAAGAGGGTGAGGAAGAGGAGGGAGCCGAGGAAGAAGAAGGTATGATGAAAAACAAGCCCATGCACCTTCACGTGCAGACTGGGCATGGCTGTTTCTTAGGAGAGGTACAAGGTAAATGAAGTCCTGCTTGTGCTTAGGGGTGCTTTATTCAAACATGATCTCAGAATCTTAAATAATACATTTATCTGTTTATTCAATACACCTTTACCAAGCACCTATTGTGAGTGAGATGATTGATCAAAAATTTCTTTTTTGCTTTTTTTTTAAAATTGTCACATACTTGTAAAAATCCATCTTTTCATATATTTAACATAGCAACCTGGTGCCCTAAAGAGCAAAAATAATCCCAAACATACATAAAAGACTCAGAATAGGTTTTGCAGAGGAGCAGAGCTCCCAGGTGTGAATCTCATTCTGTGTACATTTGTGGCCTCTGGCAAATCACTCCTTGCAAGCCTTGTGTGTTCCCTGTGCTTTTTGGAGAATGGAGCTGGGGAATTTGGGTAAGTGCTTTGATAGCTGTGTTTTCACAGCAAACCTTTGCAGAAATGTTTTCACTAGACTTACCATGGATTTGGATTTTTCTTTGTGTTCAAGCTGCCAAGGAAGAATCTGAAGAGGTAAAGGAGGAGGAAGAAGAAGGAGGTGAAGGTGAAGAGGGAGAAGAAACCAAAGAAGCAGAAGAGGATGAGAAGAAAGATGAAGGTGCTGGGGAGGAACAGGCAACCAAGAAGAAAGATTGAAGCCCCTTTCCCTTAACTATTCCAGGAATAATTCTCCCGAAATCAGGTCAACCTCATCACCAACCAACCAGTTGAGTTCCAGATCTTCTATGAATTAAGAAGTCAATATATGTATAATTCTGAGATGACTTAGGTTGGACATTCAATGTTGTGCTATGAATTTGCTCCTTAATGCAGAGTATCTGTTTGCTTGCAGAGTGGCTTTCTGGCTTGCTGCCAGCCTGTGCATGGTCCACGCTTATGAGTTCAGGATCTATGGCAATGTGAACCATTCAGATGTTTACAATAAAAACACAACATGAATAAATGAATTACTTATGTTAATGTTAACCTTCATGGAAAAATAGTCCTTTGAACTTTTGGTGGTTAGAAATTAAAGACCTCGAGTTATGTGCAATAAATAGTAAATAAAGTTACACTGAATGATGTATTCCTTGCTGTGGTTGTTGACTCAATTAAAATATCTTAAAATGGCATCAATATAAATCATATACAAGTGCACTGTTGACCTTTTTTTTAAGTCAAAATTTTTAGCAATGACAATACTTTTAAATTCTTAATTGGAAATCCTGTGAGATAAAGTTAGAGCCTCATGAAATCTCTCCCCTCAAGACATATAATGATAACAAAAATTATTAAATGAGACAGCCTAAATAACAACTTAGTTTGCCCCACAAAATGTACTGTTAGGTTGAGGCATGGCTTTTTAGGAGTTTATTCTGAAACTGTGTGATAAATATATCCTTTATGGTTAGCAGGTGCTAATACAATCTGTGCAGAACATGAATCCCACACATTCATGACTATAACTACATTTAAAAATACAATCTAAATATCACATGTAGAAGTTGGAACCTGAGCAAATGATGCCATTAGGATAAATACTTTTTTTAGTAATGTATAATTTTGGGAGGAGGATATGAATATCAAAAGTTATTTGCAAACATATTGTCTGCAGGCCTGAGCTCATAATTCCATGTGCTGATAGCTTAAATTTGTTGCCTCAAGGAAATAGCATATAATGCCACACATTTTTCAACCTTTTATAAATTACAGATATAGATAGTGAGATAATTATCAGTCACTTTGGGGGTGGGGGAGATAATGTACATTATATTGGCATTACTCTGTGCGTCTATTGGGAAATATCTGAATTTCAATGATAGCTCAACTGGTTGGACATTGCATCAAACACATGTCCCTTCTGTCCTCCCTGTCCACTGTAAAGTTATGAAAGCTCTTGCACTTGCATTTGATGTGGAATATAGATGAAGCCGCTAACTGCTGCTCTGCTTCTGTCCTTGAATGCTTTGTCAGCTAATTTCATTCAGTATTTGTTTTCTGGATAACTTTAAAAGTTATGAATTTCACCTGAAGCCAAAGTGGTGTCCATTGAAAGTTTTTGTCCTATAGCATTACTTGTTTCTAGTTAAATATATGTTATTCTACAATAGTTAAAATATTTATTTGTTTACCATTATGATATGGATTTGAACTTTGAAGGCTGTCAGAACATCAGCTTCTGTAAAGATGTGTAGTGTCCTCCAAAGCCAAGATTTCCACATTTATGCCCATTAGACACAGGCTAACACACACGGTAAAAGACAGATGCAAACTGTGTGTTGAAAGTAACTTTAGCCAAATGGAAATGGCAGGCTGGTTGAAGAAAGATCATTGTACCATACTCTATCCTGTGTGCCATAATAAAATACTAAAAAACCTAAATTAAGTGAATTTGAAGTCTTTTGTAAAGTTTTCCTAAATTTGATACTGTGGTAAGTACCCCCTTTCCCTCTTGCCACTCCAAAAACTGCAGTTCTCATTCAATATTTTCTCTTGCAATTGATGATCCTACTTTGCTGTCATCTAATTGTACAAACCAGAACCTCTATATGACTTCATACATACCTCCCATTTCCTCTCCTCAATCAGTCTAATCTAATGTATCATCAAGTCCTATTGAGTTTACTGTTTACTACCTTGAACCCATCTACATTTCTCCAATTATACTGTCACTGGCCTAATGGTGTCTATTCTTACCTGTCGTCGATCAGCACACCACAGTGTGCTAATCCTGTGAAAAGCAAGTCAATCAGCAAAAGTCTGATTAAACTCCTCCAATAGCTTCCTATTTCTCTTATAAAACACCAAACCTTCAAGGCCTACATAGACCTGACCCCTACCTCTTTCTCCAACTACATTGTGTATGCATCCCCTGCTCCTCTCTACCAGCACGCCAGCCTCTCTGCACAGTTCTCCACTTGCCCCCTTGTGGGGAGCAACTCGGACTAGACTGTTACTGGAATTAAGACTTATTCTATGCATCTGCTCTCCCACAATATGGCGCTGGGAGAGGAGAAAACAGCTTCTACACAGCTGCCTCCAGTTCAGCCAATAAACTGTAGGACTTGCTCCTGATTGGAGAGCAGCGTACTCGGCGTGTGGGCAGCCGAGTTAGGATTGGCGGAAGAGGACTATAAAGGAGGAGAGAGACGGCATGCACCAGGAACATCTAAGGGGAACATCTAAGGGGAACACCTGTGCAGCCCCCGAGAGAGCCGGCCTTCCACGGAGGTGGAAGGGACAGTAGCCAACCCGGGAAGAACCAGCAGCAAACCCGGGGAGGGCCGAGCAGACGAAAGAACAGCGCAGGGTCCTGTGTCGTTCCTCCACGAAGAGGGGGAGCAACATAATGGTGCCGTGACTCGGATATGAAGCCTAGGCAGGGCTTAGTGTCGTTCCTCCACGAAGAGGGGGAGCGACACCCCCTGCCGATTCCTCTGTCTGGAATACTAATCTTTCTGTCCTTCCCTCATCCTCGCCCAGCCCATTCCTACTCAACCCTTGGGATTAAGGCTTAGTTCTTCCCAAAGAGAAGCCTTTCTTGACCTCTTCTGATGGGTCTATTATGTCCTTATTAAAATCTACCACCTGAAGGGAGTTGCTATATTTCATGTAATGTTTCATTTCTAAGATTGACTTGGTAAGATGTTAGCTTACTTTTTTGTTCCACATGGAGATTCCAGTACTGTCAGTGTGGCTGATGTATCCTAGGTCCTGTTCTAGATGCATTGTCTGTATTAACTCATTTAATTCTCACTCACTATACAATATCAGGAGTCCCGCATGATCGCCGACCTCATTTTACAGATGAGAAACTAAAGTGAAGCAACTAGAGCAGATCACATGGGTGGTTGGGCAGGGCTGGGCTTCAGACTGCATGGTTCAGCTGTGTAGTTCATGCTCTTAACTAGCCCGTCACACTGCCACTTCTTTGCAGTCACTTTGTAAGGTACACTTGGAATCAGACTACGTCTTCATAAGCATGTTTTGTGGCAGTGGTCAGGGATTTTTTTTCACAATAATCAGAACTCTTACGATGCATTCTTTGTAGCATTCAAGGGCTGCACAGGTACTCAGAACATCCCATTGTACGGTCATGAGCCCATAGGATGCTGCTGCAATCAGTGATGACCCCTGTATATTACAGTGGTCCCTTAAGATTGCTTTGCCTATTGATATGGCAGCCATCTTACACAAAGTAGGCTCTACGATGTTTGAACAAAGAAAATTGCTTATGACATATTTCTCAGACTATCTATGTCACTAAGCAACATATAACTGCAGTTAGGAGGTTCAGGCTTATCTTTCAACCCTTTAATGATGAATATCAGTATCTAAATCCTTCTGCCTCGTGACAAGGGTTTAGAAGGCAGAAGCCAGATCCATAAAAAGACATGCCCTTGAAATTTATCTTCTAGAATCATCAGTTTTTTTTTTTTTTACAAAAAGATTTACTTATTTATTTGAAAAGTTGAGTAACACACACACAAACACAAGCACACAGATCTTCTATCTGTTGGTTCACTGTCCAAATGGCTACGATAGCCAGGACTGGACCAGGCTGAAGCAGGAGGCAGAAACTCCATCTGAGTCTCCCATTATGGGTGGCTGGGGTCCAAGCACTTGGGCCCTTTCCTGCTGCTTTCCCAGGCACAGTAGCAGAGAGCTGGAACAGAAGAGGAGCATCCAGGATTCTCTACTGCTCAGATATGGGATGTTAGCATCTCGGACAATGGCTTACCTCACTGTGCCATAATTCCAGTGTTATTCTTACACAGATCTCTTGAACTTTTAGTGCTCCTCATTGTTTCTCCTTTTACCTCTTTTACTCTTTTCCCCTTCTTTCTTTTTCTTCTCCTTCCTCATCCTCTTCTTCCTTCTTGCAGGACTACTTGTTAGCTATTTTAAACAATTTGGGGAGGAGAGGTAAAGACTGACTGAATAAATAAATGTCTTTGTTTCCTTCCAGAACATCCAACCAAGCACCATTTAATGTTTAACAAATTTAAATAATTTTTAGCATTTCAACAAATGTTTCTGGGATGGCAGAGTTTAATATTTGGGAGAACGTTCCATAAATGTAGAGAGATTCTAGAATTTCTTCTTTGTCCCTTGGGGACAGTGTGTGAGGTGTCAGAACTGGTCCAGGCAAGATTCATTTGTAAAAGCTCCCAGTGGAGAATTCGGGAGATTTTCTCCTCAGGAAAATGTCCAACAGAATGGAGTGCAGTGAATTATACAAGCTATACCCAGGGAGCTGTTTTCAATTGAAAGTCCTCTTGAAAATTTGCAGTGACGAGTCTTACATGAGGACTAGAATGGCAAAAGGTAACACATCATGGAAAGGAAGAAATCTTCAGCAGCCCCAGAAGATAACTCTTGGTAATTTCTTTTATACCAGCCTTTGTAAATTACTTCAACATAGACAATTATTTTTATATGGAGAGTTTTTAAAAAGATAATATATATAACAGCATTAACAAATTTAAAAGGAAGAAATCACATTTCCTACATTCAACTCCAATTATTTTCATTTTTATGTTTTCCTTCAGTCCTAGATCCTGTATATGTATATTTTGACATAGATCCTCCATCCATTCCACCAAATTAATTACACAGGTGGTGCTCAAGGTGAAGTACTGAAGCAGAAAGTGTGCCTGCTTTGAGGGACTTAGCAGTAGGATGTATGTATCAACAGATATGAACAAGTAAAAGGTTAATAAATAGATGCTCTTTGATCAGAGTCAGGTAATGTTCTGAGGAATGATGGTTTTGGGTAGAGGGAACAGCAAATAAAATGACCACTTTGAATCTAGAAAAATGCCTTATGCTCCTATAAGTAACATAAATAAACAGAGGGCTAGGGAAACTAGGCAAAGGTCAGATTATGCGTGGGTGCATAGATCAAGGAGTTCAGATTTTATTTTTCTGCAGTTGGGTACTTTTGAAGAAGTTGAGCAAGTATGGTGATAGAATCTCATTTCTGTTTTGTAAAGGCTACTGTGGCTCAATTGTATGAAATGGACGTTAGGGAAGCAAGAGTCCATGTAAAGTGACTAAAAGGCACTTTTAGTCCAGGTAAGAAAAGAAGGAATGGTGACTTAGAATAGGTAGTGGCAGTAGAGACTGTATGACGTGGTATGACTCAGAAAATTTTTGAGGCAATTTCTTGCCAACAGAATGAATGCATGGAGAGGAAAAGTTATATACAGTATCTTATTTTTGAAAACTATGTAGTACAAGAGTCCTCAAAACATTCATTTAAAATGCATATTATGAAAAAACTATGCAAAGATTTTAAAATGTTTGAACCAAATAAACTTGTCTTTTGGCTCTGTGTTATAGGAACTTTTTATAGTCCCCTCATATTTCATCTTTGTAATATGCAGTTATATTAGTTATCTTGACTGCATAATAAATCACTTCAGAGCCTGCAGCTTTAAACATTCCAATCATTTGTTATTTCTCAGTTGGTGTAGTCTATTATTTGGGAGTGACTCTGTTGGGATTTTTAAAATTTTATTTATTTATTTTTGACAGGCAGAGTTAGACAGTGAGAGAGAGAGAGAGAGAGAGAGAGAGAGAGAGAAAGGTCTTCCTTCTGTTGGTTCACCCCCCAAATGGCTGCCACAGCCGGTGTGTGGAACTGATCCGAAGCCAGGAGCCAGGTGCTTTCTCTTGGTCTCCCAGGTGCGTGCAGGGCCCAAACACTTGGGCCATCCTCCACTGCCTTCCCAGGCCACAGCAGAGAGCTGGACTGGAAGAGGAGCAACTGGGACTAGAACCCTGCGTCCATATGGGATGCTGGCGCCGTAGGCGGAGGATTAGCCTAGTGAGCCATGGGCGCCGGCCTCTTGGGATATTTTGGCTTTTGTTTTCTCAGGGGATTACAGACAGATGTTGCCTAAAGTTGCTTAACCAAGGCTGCAAGATCCATTTCAAGGTGTCTCATCCTTTTGGCTAGAAGTTTCCTCTCCATGTAGGCCTTTCCATGGAGCTGCTTGAGTATCCTTAGAACATGACAGCTGACTTAAGCAGATGGTGCAATGTCTTTTATGACCTCCCTTTGGAAATCACACACCCTCACTAGCGTTTTATTCTCTCAGTCATGAAGACCAACTTGTCTGACTGAATGTGGGAGACTCTACACAATGGTAATGCTAAGATGTGAAGATCCTCAGAGGCTACCACAAGACTGGTGGGCACATGGCTATTTCTTTTAAGAACAAAAGTCATCCATTCCAGAGTTTTGAAACAAACCCAATTTCAAATATGCTTTCAATCTGTTATCACCTTATCTGATCTTGTATACCAAACCAAAGTTTAAAAACAGCTTTGTGAGAATTACAAATAGATTGGCAATAGATTTCTTTATCCAATGG